CACAAACTGAAGCACTCTCTAGTTGTATTGCCTGTGCTGATGAAACTCAGATTATAGTGGAAGCTCAGACTCTGAGCTCAGTGGTCAATACCTGCCTGTAGCCATGCCAAGATAGATGTGTAAATATGGAGATGAATCACATCAAAGACTCAATTCAACACACATTAGCATTTACTGAACACCTTCTAAAGTAGCCAAAGCATCTGCACTGAGCTGGCATATATGATAGCTCATTGAGAGAAAGCCTGCACTCCCCTGAGGAGCAGCTCGAGGCTAGGGGGGATACCTTAAGGCAGCTCAGGTAGCACTAGATGCTGGCACACAGATAGAGAAATCAAGCTGTCACTCCTGTTATGCTCAAAGGGATGAGTTCTCATCTCACTGCCTTGCTCTGAGGATGAATACTTCACCCAGACATTGAAGATGGAAAATAGGACAAAATAGTACATTACATTAAATCAATGCCGTCAGGGCTGCTGGGAATAGACAAACTTCTAACTTGGTGCTTAAAATGCAAGTCCTCTTGATTTGAACAGCTGAAATAATTCCTTACAATGTATTTCAGTTAAAGTGTTTGCTATTTAGCAGCAGTGTTAGCTAGCAATATGCAAACCTGCAACTTCAACCTGTAAGCCTCTACTTGTTTTTACAAGCAGCGGAATAAATGACTGAATGCACTATAAATGATTCAACGTTTCTTCATTCAGAACAATGTTTTCTAAGCACCTGTTCAAAGTACTCTTGTCAGAAAAAAATTGAGAATTGAAATTTGGCATTTAAAATTCACTTTGTAATGAAACTAAAATGCAAATATAGCAGAAATCATTGAAACATTCAGATAGAACACATCAGAAAGATTATGTAAGTTAGCAATCTGTGCATAAGAATAAAAGTATTTTTCTCATCCATAATGTGAAAAAAAGAGCTGTATAACTTTATATTTGTTTGTGAGCTGAAATCGTTGAATCTCATCATCTCAGAATGCAGATGACAGTTTTATCTTATCTGCTGGTTCAGTCTGGTACGGAGAGGGAAAAGGAAATAGCAATGCTGGCTGCACAAGCACTTTTGCATGTTTTAACTCAGAAAACTGTAAACTATGACATGTTGCAAATAACTTTCAAATAGTTTCCTAAAAATATTTCTCATACTATTAAAACAAAGCATAAAAATAATTTCTGCAACTTTTATCTCACTGGGCAACTACTGGTTGTATAAAAACTATATGAACATTCTCTATAGTAAATGAGGGTGCCAAATATGTTTATTTCCACTTTAAGTTTCACTAGACACCTCTTTTAAACTCAAATTATTTCAGTAATGGAGCTAAACATGCTTAGCTCCTCAAATTCCAGCTCTGAAGAAGAGCGGTCTAAATAAAGCTGTTAGTTTCAGCTGGCTAATTAATTTAAAGATTAATTGTTTTGCATTGTTTTTCTCCCTAAATTACATAGGTAAGAGGAATGTACAAAGAAACTAATGTCTGAAGAAGATGATGAGAAGCACAGTGTAGGGAAAGTGGCAGTCAGCTTTCAACATGGCTCTGATAAGGCGCATTAATTACGAAAAAAACACTCTGCATATTAAGGTGATGATTTCTTTTTGGCAGAGGTGCCTTGTATCTCCACTTATGCCAAACAGCAAGGTATTTTTTGTGATGCACGCCAGTGCTCTCAGAAAGTTCATTGCTTTGAATCAGGAGGTGAGGTAGTAGTCATGGAATCCATGTGTTTGAGTACTTTAATGCAATCTTCCCAATGCAGCAGTTAGGGGCAGAAAATTTGCAATGAAACCCCAGCCAGAAATCAAAGGTTTGTCACTGCTGTCAGAGGCCAAGTTTTGCTGATACTGTACCTCTCCTTGGATGTCCTGCTAAGACAGTGGCAGCTTTTTACATTCTTCTCAGTGGACTGTGGCCCAATTGCATGTTTGAACCCTGATACTGAAAAATGGAAATAAATGACCAAAAGATTAAGTGCTTTCTGAGTTTTTACACACAAAAAAAAAGCAAATAGCTTGAATTCCCTTTCCACACTTTTATATCTCATCCTTTATTGATATTTAGCCAGGTGTTAGGTTAATTTTGCATCAAAACAGTCACTTCAAAGAGTTCTTTAAAAAGAATAAAATGAAGGAGAAAGAGAAGACTGATTTTCTCTGTCCACTGCCACTGGGCTCACTGCCCATTTCTTGTCTGTCATTTTTTAATTTGTTAATTCTAATGAAAAAGTGTTTGCATAGCAAGTTCAGGAGACTTTGGCAACATAAAACTCAGGACAATCGCATTTTTTATAAAAATGAACAAAGGGCACCCACTCTAAGATTGATCAGTGGATACTGAATGAGACATTTATTTTTGTGCCAGCTCAACTACCAGTCTCAACAAGATTTGCATATATTTTGGCAAGTGTACTGCACAAGGTGGTAATAAAATAGGCCTTTTATATCTGAGTCTAATTTACTTCAGTTGTACTCATTAAAAATGTGTTTTCATGTGAAAGAAATTTCAGTAAGGGATAGTTTGAAAACAGAAACATCACAGAAATATTTGCTATACATACAGTATCAAGAATTTTACAGCTGAGAAAGAGTATTTTTAGGAAGAAATTCCCAAGTTCTACAAATGTAAGACTCCTGTTTTGTTGGTTTTTAAATCATTTTTATGCTCAACATTGCAGGTTTACCTATCATACTTGATGTTAATAGGTGTATGTTTTTTTTAAGTAACACAAAATATGGAGTAAAAAATCCAGTTCACTGTATATTTTGCCATTTTCAATGACTTCACCCATAGAAAAACTACTCACAGAAGGCAGAAAATGTACTCTACAAGGTCTTATTCAGTATAAATTCCATTGCACAAGTAAGTGTTGGTATGGCTGAAGGTGTGATTTTAAACCCATTTTCTTTACATGTGAAGAAAATCATGAGTGAAATGTTTCACGAGCAGTACTTTGGCTTTAACAGGCTCGTAACATTGCATTTTATTGCGCATTAGGAACATGCTTCATCTAAACAAACAAACAAAAAAAAGAAAAGGCAACAACAACAGCATGTTTAACCAAAGCTTAATCAAACAGGGTCAAGACTATGTCTTTGTCAAACCTGAATAAAAGCATCTGCCCAGTGTTGTATGAACACACACTGAAGGATCAGGATTATTTTTTAATTGCATTTCTTATGTCTTGGGTTTGCTCCTGTTTAAACTGTCTTGAGAATATATTGGACTGCTAATTGAAATAAGAGAAGAGCAATGAAAAGAATCCTGTCTTTCAGTTACCTTGCCTCCTTACTGAAGAGAAAAATGCAGAGGATCTAGCTTCACCACCACAGCAATACACAGTATCTGTAACACTGAAGCTGTTTCCAAAGATATAATGTAATTTTTCTTCAGAGATAAGAAACAAAGCATTTTTGTGCCAAATGCATTTCAGGGATAAATATCATTTTTATATTTTGATAAGATGAAAATAAAGGAAAAGAGATGATTGACCACAAAGCTCTGACAGGCTGAATTAAATTTTATGAAACACAGCTATCAAATCATGCCCACACAGAAAATATTCTAACCTACAAAAAAAAAATTCCTATAGCTAGGATGGCAAAATTATGGGTATCATGCTAGTATTTTTACTTTGACTAAGTACAACCAGTATCTATTAGAAACCCTAACATTTCAGTAGGTTCAAGGTAATGTGCCAGTCACAGAGAGAAAAATCAAAAACTGCCTCAAATTGCATTCCCTACTTTCAAAACAGTATGAGCTGCCTCACCACTTACAGCAGCTGACATACAGTTGCCTTTGCTGGTAATTTCAAGAAGCACAGCATAAACTGTCATTAATGATTTAGAAATGTACTAATTTGTGAAAGTATTATGTCACACAAGATAGCCAGCACCTAAGAACTTGTGAAAAATGCATTTCTTACAACAGAAATAATATTATTTAGCTTTATAATTAAAATTCTAGGAGAGAGAGAATAAGTTATTATGAAAATATATAGCTTTAATTTGCAGACATATAAACACTTTTGGTACATTAAAGACATATGATGCGAGAAATCAAAATAATAATTTTTAAGCATAACACTAATTTATCTTGTTCACACAGAGAAATTTGACGCAAACATCATACAAAAGATAGTTCTTAGCTCTTAAAATGAAGTGAAAGTAATACATCACTGATAAATTTGCTGCTTTGTTGCAGAGGATACAGCAAAGAATAAATTATCAAGAAAATATGCCACCAGTCTTACAAGTTAGATTCTGGATCTAATCCAAAATCAAAGCCAATGAAAAGGAGCCAGGAATGGTCGCCAAAAATCAGAAACAAGATCTTTCACATGAAATACCAATCCAGAAAGAAGCAACAGTCAGAATAAAAAAAGTCCTACAATTCCTTAGAATGTGAAGTGATTTTTGTTTTCATCTGGCAGATCAGATTCAGAAGTAACACATAACAAAAATCTACTGCACAACCCAACTGATGGAGTATTATTGACAGATTGCTCAAAGTACAAAAAAATACCACCACTTTTGTGACAACTAAGGATTTAGCCATTCCCTTGCTTCCTTGCATCTGGCATGTTTATGAGGATGAAGATGGGGCTCTGCCATTATTTGCTTTAGGAAATATTAAATATAATTTTTCCATAAAAATGACCAGCAGATTGCTGGAGCAAATGGTAATGAGAGTGGAATCTGGAGAAAAATGAATGATATGTCACAGCAGTCCAGATTCTCATTACAATATCTTGCATTCTTGCTCAACAGGAATTGCACTTCTTGTTAATGCCTCTTCTACCCTACTGTATAAGCTTTACTTGTGAGGTAATAAACATTCTGGTTTTCATTACTAGTGCATTTTAACATATTTATTCTTTTTATTATACATACATTGGGACAGACATTTCTTTTTTTTTTTTTTTTTTTTTTTTCACATCTATCATTACACAGCGGGTTTGTGAAGTATCAATTAGCTGTGTTGATTTTTCCGTTCTTTAAATGTCTGTATGCCAATAGGTATTTTATATTAAAATCAATATACTTAAAATATATTCTGTTTATCTCATGGACAGTACCTTGAACAGTTCCCTGCTCAGGAGCATTTGATGCCCTCTCGTGGTTAAAAATACTTTTAAAACTTGAGTTTAAAAGAATCATCTTACCTTCACCCTTTTTATGTTCACTGATCTTATTGATTTATGAAAGCTGGAAATGATGTCCATGTTTTTATAGTCAGGGTGCTAGCTGTTAGTTACTAACGTTTCATAAAAAAGCTGTACACTGAAATTGAATTTAAAAAACTGTAAACAGCTATTTACAATTATAATATTAAGTTATAAATTAGCAGTCCTTCATTGCAACCTCTGTCAATACAACCTACAGCTAGGTGTTTTATTGTCCTCCAGGGTTTTTCAAATATTGGACTTATACACAAAGAAACATCAGATATTAGAAATCTCCACTGGTTTCTTCTCCAACATGTGCAGGTTAATTCTTCCATTTAAGGGGATTTGTACTTCCAAGTTTTCATCTGCTCTGTGATGCTTTTTCCCTTTTCTCAGACAAATGTAAATTCCCATCCCCGTTACTAAAGCAATCGAACTCAAGCTTATTATTGAAAGAGCTACCAAGGTAGGCATGCAGGACGCTGACTCCATTTTTTTATGTGTAGGCTCTATGGATATTTGTGGATGCTTTTCCTCTACACTGATATCAGGCTCCTTCCTTAACAAGCTCTCGATGTAGCTCTCATTGCTGACGGTGTCATTGACAAAAAGGTTCACCATGACGGTGGAGTGGAGAGGCTCCGGGTAGCCGTGGTCACTGACTTTCACGAGCAGCCGATAGAGGCCATAGTCATTCTGCATCAGTGACTCTTCCAAGGTGATGTTACCAGTTTTGGGGTCAATCCTAAACGACTCGGGTCGAGGGCCTCTCCTTCCTATGATACTGTAAGCTATGACTGCATTCATGCCGGTGTCCTTATCGACAGCATAGACCTCAGTGATGGGAGAGCCAGGAAGGGTAGAGGGAAGGACTAACAAGTAAGACATATTAGACTGAGGGAACAAGACCAAAGGAGGGTTGTCATTTATGTCTAGAAGAAGGATAGTTATTTTTGCTGTAGAAGACAGGGCAGGATCACCGCCATCAACTGCTTCAATCCACAGAACGTAGGAGCTTTGCTGCTCCCTGTCCAGGGAGACTTTAGCTCTCAAAACTCCTTTTCCAGTATCTATAACAAAAATATCACTTCCGTTCAGAACTGAAAGGGCAACCCATCCATTTTGCCCTGCATCAGCATCTGTGACACTTATAACTCCAATTTCACCAAAGCCTGGAAAGTTTTCTGGCACAAAAAAGCTGAAATCCTTATTGATAAATCTTGGACTGTTATCATTTTTATCCAATACAGTGATGGTGACAGTTGCTATTGATTCTCTTGGAGGGAATCCAGAATCTACTGCTTTGACAGTATATCTGTATTTCTCTTTTTCTTCTCTGTCCAGCTGGGTAGAAACTGTAAGAACTCCTGTAGTTTTATCTAAAGCAAAATAAGAAGGGGCATCAGGACCTAAGAAATAGGACACTTGCCCTCTTTCTCCACTGTCAGCATCAGTAGCATGCAGTTTGGTCAAAAAAGCATTGGGAACATTGTTCTCCTCAATGGACAATTCTATCAGCTGTTCAGAGAAAACTGGTGAATTGTCGTTGTCATCCAGAACCTGTACTTTGACAACTTTCTTGACATGAAATCCTTCAGAGTTCCATGCAACTACAGAGATTTCATACAGCTGCTGTGTCTCAAAGTCCAAAGGCTTCGTGGTCTCCAACAGGTATTCATTGTTGTATGGCTTGTACGGTGAAAGCCTGAAAGGCCCATCACCGTCCAAATAGCAACTGACTTTGTACTTTTCATCGGGGTCTTTGATGGTAAAAAATGCTATGGGTGTGTTGATAGGCTCAAGTTCCTTTAAGTAGACCACCCCTTCCACCTCATTAGCTATGAAACGAGGAACAACTTCAGGGGGCCTCATCATGACTTTGATGATGGTCACCAGCACCGTGATCATGGCAGGAATACAGCCAGGACCGTTGCCCAGTATGATCAGCCTGTGCAGCCTTGGAGTGTCCCCATCAACCTTAGTGGAGAGTGTGATGGCTCCTGTGCTTTCATTCAGATGGAACAAGTCTCTGGATGGCTGGGGGACCTTCTGGCTGTAGGAGTAGGTGATCTGGGCATTGGATCCAAGATCCATGTCCACAGCGTGGACAGTAGCCACGTGTGTCCCTAGGCTGGAATTCCCATAGAGAGTGACGTTGAGCTGCGAGTCATTGAACTGGGGGCAGTTGTCATTGATGTCACTGATGCCAATAGTGAGGGTGGCGCTGCCCACGAGCGGAGGAGTCCCCCCATCCTCAGCGACGATGACTGTCACATACTCGTCCTGCGTCTCCCTGTCCAGTGCCCCCATAACAATCAGGTAGGGAGTCCTCTCCCCATTCTCATTCTCCTCCACATCCAGGGTGAAGACACCATAGTTATCTCGCAGGCGGTAGGTCTGGACACCATTGGTGCCCATGTCAGGGTCGAGGGCGGGGTGCTCGATGGCCAGGCGGGTGTTCACAGGCGCATTCTCAGGCACCCAGAGGCGGATGTGGGGCACAGGGAAGCGGGGCGCGTTGTCGTTGACATCACGAATAGCAATTTTTACCTTCACCAGGCGAAAGTACTCCTGCGGCAGTACCAGCACATCCAGCAGCAGTAGGCATGACTCTGGTGAGGGGGACGAAGAGGAGACAGCAGCCGATCCCCCGAAGATGGTGGCCCCACTGCTTTCCACGCATAGAGCTTCCCGGTCTATCTCCACCGCTGAGGTGTGCAGCTCTCCGGAGCGGTTGTCCAGCTGCACATACTGTCCCCCCAAGCCATGGGAGGCCAGGGTGAAGGAGAGTGGGGGCTGCAGAGACGCCGCTTGCTGGCTGCCAGCCGTTGGAAGCTGCAGGTCACGGGCCAGGCTGCCGATGAGCACCCCAGCAGGCAGCCCCTCGTTGAGGCTGTAGAAGAGCTCAGTGGCGCGGCTGTAACTGGCAAAGCAGTTGAAAGGCCCAACGAAGAGCAGGAAGAGGAGCAAGTGCTGAGAAGAGAGAAGCACAGGGGTGTAAGGAAGGGCTGGCACTTCCCCCCGCCCACTGCCTCCCCCACTGCCACTTCGAGCAGCGAGCGCTGCATCTGCAACATGAAGCCATCCTCCCTCTCCCCACCATCCTCCCGGTACAGCAGCTACTTCCAGGGCATCACCATCTGTACCCTCCAGGCAACACCAGCTGCATTCCCCACAGCAAATACGCAGTGCCAGGATGGCCCGGGGGCACCCTGCCTACCCCCGCCCCCCAGCAGCACTTGCGCCCCGACGTGCCATTTTCCCTCTCGCCCCCGCCCCAAGCCGCGTCTCACGAGCGGCACCTTTCCTCCCAACAACAAGCGCATCCCAAACCGGGGCATCCCCTTGCACATCCCCAAACATCTGCTCGCCCCCTTCCCCTTCCACAGCAGAAATGCGGAATGCGTTCCTCGCTGCTCCTACCCCCATCCCCGTCCCGAAAGCTGTTTTTCCCGCATGTTCACAGTCCCGCGGTGCAGCGGGGAGGCGGCCCGCTCCGCGGAGCCCGCGGGGGTCCCGGCGGAGGAGCCGCGCTCCGGGAGGCGGGTCCCTGCCTCCCGCGGCCGCGGAGCCGCGGCTCCAGCCCCGCCGTGAAGAGTCCCCGGCCAGCCCCGCGGCTCCCTCTGTGCCGGCGGACACCGCGGGCTGCGCAGGAGCCGCGGAGCGGAGGGGCTGCGCGGAGCAAGTTGGCCGTGCTGGCGAGCGTGTCGCCCGCTGCACACAGATGGAACGGAGCTCCCCGAAAGTAACTTCAGACATCGTCTCCACGGAGGAAATATTTTCCCCATCCCTTCTTTCTAATCACCCATTCGCTTTTCCGCGGCTCTTTGCCACAACCCGGCAGCAGCAACAAATATAAACTTTTCGTGGCTGCCCCGATCTTTGGAGAGAAAAAGACGCAACAAACATATCCACGCATACACGGTCTGGTTTGTTTGGTTGTTTTTTTGGTCCTTTTAAGCCAATTTGTTGCCAATTTCGCTGCTGCGTGCGAAGTCGGGCTCTGGTGGCCGGACGCGGCGCGTCCCCCCTCCCTCCGCCCGGCCCTCACCTGCAGGCTGCCGCGGGCGCCGGAGCTGCCGCGACCGCCCGGGGGCCCCATGCCCGGCCACCGCTGCCGCCGCCGGCTGCGCCCCGGCAGCGCGCCCGCTCCGCCGCCCGCCCGGCGCTCCTGCTCCCCGCGGCTGCCCATTCCCCCGCGCTGCCGCCGCCGCCGCCGCGCTGGGCTGGGCTGGGATGTGCGCGCCGCCCAGGACACTCCCCCTCCGCCGCGGGAAGGGCCGGAGCGGGGGAACAGTCACGGGCTCGGCCGGGAGGGGGGCGGGCGGGCCAGATGCGGGGGCGCGTCCGCGGAGGCTGCGGCAGCGCCGCGGGCAGTGGGCAGGGAGCGCCGCGGGATGGGAGCACTCGGGCAGGGAGCGCAGCGGGCATCGGGCAGGGAGGGAAGCGGGCAGGGAGCACAACAGGCAGGGAGGGAAGCGGGCAGCGGGCAGGGAGCACCGCGGGCAGGGAGCGCAGCGGGCAGCGGACAGGGAGGGAAGCGGGCAGGGAAGGAAGTGGCCGCTGTGCCGAGCCCAGCGGCGCGGCCACAGCCGAGAGCGGGCATGTCGGGTTTGTGTGTGCTCGCCCGGGCAGCGCTGGGACGAGGGAAAGAAGGTAGACCCGTCTGGAAACTAAGGCGGGAAAAAGATACTAAAAAGGAAAATAAGCTCGGCTTGTTGTTCGTCTGTAGAAAGCGGACGGAGTGCGACTTTTTACACGGGCCGATAGTCATCGGATAAGGGGAGCAGTTTTGAACTAAAAGAGGACAGATTTAAAATGAGGTGTTAAGGCATAAATTGTTTACTCTGAGAGTGGTGAGGCACTGGAACAAGTTGCCCAGAGAACCTGCGGTTGCCCTATCCCTGGACATGTTCGAGGCCAGATTGGATGGGGCCCTGAGCAACCTGATCTAGTGGATGCCATCCCTGCTCTTGACCGGGGGGATTTGAACGAAGATGATCTTTAAATTTGCTTCCCATCCAAACCATTCTGAGGTTCTGTGTTGTGCTGTGAGTGTCAGCAGGCAAATCGAGAATTAACAGCTGCACTGGCATTGCGGAGCCTTGGTGAATTGAGCAGCTTGTTCCTGCACGAAATGAAAGTCATGTTTTGGAAGAGATTGTAAGCGTTTGATTGGTGGAAAGAGTGTCCTGCTGAATTAGAGCAGCAACTACAATTTGCTGCTGGCTAAGAGCTCAAAGGTCCTTTGCGGCAGAAAATTATGTGTTTTCATTTTATAGTCTCCAGTCACTATTGGCTAGACTATAAGCCTGCCGTAGAACTAGATGTGAAATCATCAGAACTCAGGAAGCTTTAGACAGCGCAAGACCAATTACACATTAATTTATCATGTTGGACTATCAAAAGGATTGCTAACCTCCCCAGCATTGGTTACACTGTCTATTTGCAATATCTCAAATAGAATTTTACATGCCCATCTTTAGCCTGAAAGTGCTCAATGGTCTGAATCCAGGCTACTGCTGAAAGCTTGAGTGCTGGGACTCTCAAGCACAGTGGAGCTGCCCTTTGCAGAGGTAATGTTTGTGTGGGAGTTGAAACTCACTAAATCACAGGACCTGAAGACCACCTTAAGTGTCTCCATGCGCAGTGGCAAGCACAGTGTGCAGGCATTTCTTCTCAGCTAGGCACTAAAAACATAGAGCACAACAAAACATTTTCCTTCAGTTAAAAGAAAAATTACTCTTCCCTTTTCCTTTTCCAATTCCATGAGACAAACTCCATGTCCAAAGCAAAGAAGCAAAACCCAGTGTAATTGGAATCCCAGTTCCAAAACCAACTTAATGCCTGAGTCTTTTGTAAAACTGCATCTTTCAAAAGCAAATAATAAGTGAAACATACAAAACATATTGTCTGGCAACTCTTGGGATGTTCTCGGGTATTGTGAGGAAGAGAGCTGTGGGTCAAACTTCATAGCATAGAATAGAATAGAATGGAATAGAACAGAAACAAAAACTTCCAAGACTGACTTTCTCTGGGACTGTAAACAAATCATATTAATTCCTTTGTCCCATATTCTCCATTCTTGAAATATAAATAGTGCAATACTGTTTGTCTGAATTAGAGATTTACCCCTTTCTTGCTAAAGTAAATGGCAGTGGAATCAGGGTCTGCTTTATTCAGTGAAACTCTTTAATAACCATTTCATCCCAAAATGACACTAACACAATAATCATATGTGAGCTAAACAGTAAAGCATTATGGTACTAAAAAAAGGTTTGGCTTTGGGTTTATTTATTATTCATTAATCTCTAGGGTTTTGAAACCACTCAGTATGTACCGCCCTTATAAATTGTTTATATCTTTGCCATTCATTTCTAGCACAAATAGAACAGACAATGCAGTGTATACAGTTCAGAGTGAGCATGTATAATTCAAGAAAGAAATCAAACTGCTCAAGCCCTTTACTAAATTCTCATCCATATGCACTGTTCTGAACAATGCTTGGTGTTAAATGTGCCCATAAACTCAATCCTGTTTAAGGTACTTTGACTGGACATGCCTGGCAGATGCTTTTAGTTGACTCACATCTGCTATAATTTTATTCATTTCAACAGAAATATTGACTCATTTGGATTTAAGTCAGATTTTGACACTGATTTATGTGGAGTTAAAATTCATAGACACTATAATTTTAGTTTTAGTGAATTGGCAGTCTACTCATGAATGAGTCTGAAGTCCCTACAAAATTCTACTGTTAAGTTTTGGTTTTTGTTTCTCTGATGTCACAGTTTCCTCTTATCTTATTCCTTCCTCTTATGCTTTTGGAATTACTGACCTATTCCTACACCATTTTTCATACCATTTCAGTCACTGCAGTTCCCTTGGGCCACTGATAGGGTAAATGGTGACTTTACTATTATAGCATTCAGGTTTTCATTATACTTGATGACTTTTGTTTTATTAAAACACAGGTGTAACAGCAGAATTAAAAGTTTTGTGGAGCATCTGGTACCTCTATAATATTTTATTTTGTTAGGCACCAGAATCATCTAGTAAGTCTTAAAGGCTCCTTGAAGACTAATGTGTCTAATAAATCTCCTGGTTAAGAAGTACTCCAGCCTGTTTAAGGAGAAGTACTCCAGCTGTGTGTGGGATATGGAATGAGGGGTGTGAGAGAAACAGCAGTATAGAAAAGATACCAAAATGGCTCCTTCACTCATTATTTTGGGGGAAAACCCCTTCCAAAGCTTCAGGAAAACATTGAACTGATTTAATTATATACTGAGTTTTGTTTTCTGGGAAAAGATGTTAGAAAGTTATGAGCCTAATTCCATGCAACCACTTGTAGTTAACCATATCTTTTTAACTTGCATCTTAGTACATAAAATCTAGTTATCACTTCATCCAAGATTCGTGTTGGAATTCAAGTGGTTCAGAAGGAGCAAGTGAGAGCATTTCTGTGGGATTCCTGATTGCCTCAGGTATGTCACAAACTGCAAGTCTGAGATCCAGCGACAAGTCCTCTAAGAAGTGTCATAGTTATTGATAAATAGATCAGACAGAAAAAGTACATTATTGTTATGGCAAAAATAGTATTTATTTTACTTTATCCTGAATAAAGAACGTAGGTATTGATACTCAATTGAAATGCTTTGTGTTTGTGGGCAGAGTTCCAGTGGCAGATGGGAGCCTTCCCAGGTGATTCATTCAGGACCATCACTTCTGAAAGAGAATATCAAATAGTATCTTTTGGCATGTCTGGCAACTGTGGCCAACTTTTACAAGAGACAGGGATGCAGGGACATTTTGCCCCCTGAATCTAGAAAAAAGCTCTCTGCTACAACCTGTGGTTGTACGGAGAAAGATTGTGGCATGAGATTTCCCCATCATTGAAATTTAACTGATTCAGACGAAAAATATTTTTAGATTCCAGTCAGTGTGATGTTTTGAGACAGGTGCTCTTCAGTGGGGAAACAGTCCCGTTTTGCAGAGAAAGCCCTGGTGTGAGTATTGATTTCTAGTCACAGGAAATCTAAGAAAGACTCATAACTAACAGACTGCCACTTCACTGAAGATTTTACACTGCAGGAGATACAGGGCAAGTAAAAGAGATCTTTTAACTTTTAGCAATGTACACTTTTTATTGTTTTGCTGTTATGCTGAACTTCCTGTGCAGGGTGGTGGATTACAGTGTGAAAGATTCTTATGAATATTAGATAGTGACCTTTCTTGCAGAAGTGCTGAGCATCTGGCACTCGCGCTTTACTGAAAGCTGTGATCATTCTGTGTCACTGTAGATCAGACCTAGCATGATCATTCCGTTCTCAGCACAGAGCAGGAGAGGGACCCTGGCACTGCTTCCCCTTGTGTCACTGTAAGGCAGCACAAACTCTGGGTCCAGCTTGAATAAAGCAACAGTCGAGCTGGAAAGTGGATGACTCTTTGGGGTTTGTATCGCTGAAATCTCCTGTCACCCTTTCAAAGAGCTGGTTCTCGAAAGCTCTCTCAAGGTGAGCCTGCAAGGTTCTGCTCAACAGCTTTTCATGAACAAAACTCTGCTGCGGTCATGACAACCTCACAAGAAAGTAGCTAAAGTGTGAAAGCAGCTTCTAAACTTTACGAAGGAATACCCCATGAGGCAAAGTGGTGTTTGATAGGAAAGCTGACAAAGGTGGATGAGATTTTCCCGTCTGGTTAGCTTAGTGCCTGTTGGGGACTGCTATGCTGAAGTATCACAAATCAGAGCTGATAAACCGAGGCAGAGAAAAGAGACTTGAGGGGAAAAAAGCCTCCTGCTGTCTCTAAACCAAGTATTTGACACATTTGACCAACTTCTTCCTCAGGTTCTTTTGAGGTTTCATAGAAGTACGATTCTTTGGTTATGATGTTTTGTATATGTCTCCATGCATTTTGTGCTTTTCTTTTTATCTGGAAAAATGTCAATATAGTCCAGCAGTGAGAGATATATATATATACATATATATATGTATATATATATATATATGATCATATATATGATCACAACTTTATTTTCAAAAGAAAACTTAATTTATAATTTATTAACTAAGTATAGTTTTCTAAAATATAAGAGGAAGGAAGACTTTAACTCAGA